CATCAATAAACGGATACTCAAAATTCAAAATAAAAATCAAATAGGTTACATCCTCTTTCCCAAAAATCATCATCACGACAAGCTAGAGTATAAGAATATCTTTGAAACTCTAAAAAATATCAAACCTGAAATCGGAAATCAGAAATTCGTATTTGTTCCACCCGTAAAAGATACTAATATAAAAATTTCTCACTTAAACGAAATGATTAAATTCATCTATCCAAAAAACGAAATAACAATTCTAAATACTCAGAAAACTTATCCTAAAGACCAAGATCAAATAAAAATAATTCTTAAAGAAAATCATGATAGCAAATTAGCAGGACATTATGGTTTTAATAAAACCTATGCAAAAATCAAAGAACAATACTCTTGGCCAAACATGAAATCCGACATAAGAAAATATATTAAAACATGTCATTCATGTCAATTAAATAAGACGAATTTCAAACCAACCAAGCAACCTATGGAAATTACAACGACGTCCGAAAAACCATTCGAAAGATTAGCAATCGACATAGTAGGTCCACTTCCTCTTACCGAATTAGGAAACAAATTTATCGTGACCGCGCAAGACGATCTCACGAAATATTCTTTTGCATATCCAACTCCGAATCACGAAGCTACTACAGTAGCTAAGATACTAACACAAATATTCACCAGTTTTTGGAATCCCTAAGAAATTTTTGACAGACCAAGGCACGGATTTTATGTCTAATTTAATAAAAGAACTAGCAAGTCTCTTCAAAACTAAACATCTGACAACAACTCCATATCACCCACAGACAAATGGTGCATTAGAGCGTTCCCATTTAACCCTAAAAGATTATCTAAACATTATATTAAGGCTGACCAATCTAACTGGGACGAATATTTACAATTTGCGATGTTCAGCTATAATACCTCCCTGCATAAGTCTACGAATTACTCCCCCTATGAACTACTCTTCGGTTACAAACCATATCTACCTTCTTCTATTTGTCAAGAACCTAAATTCCATTATACATATGACGATTACATTCGATCCTTACAACACAGACTCAATGTCTCTTTCAAAATAGCCCGGGATCATACTCAAACTTCAAAAGAAAAAGCAAAGAAAATTACGATAAAACTGCAAAAAAGGTTTCATTCAAAGTTAATGATTTAGTCTGTATCTATCAAAAACAGATCCGGCCAGGACTATCAAAAAAACTATCTAGCCATTTTAAAGGCCCATTTAAAATCGTGCACGTACACCCTAACAAAACAGTAGATGTTCAAGTAGGCAAAAAGGTTATCACATACCACACTAACCTACTGAAACTTTTCTTTCCAGATGAACGCAATACTCTTGCTACTTTTCATGACTCTTCACCCAACCTTTAGTTCCTATTACCAAAATAACGTCCTTACCAATTCCAGTGGAATCTTTTATGATAAATTAGGAATATCTAAAGTATCCAACTCTAAACTAACATTGATAACTCACCTTAACTATACTCATCTTAATGAAGGCCGAAAAACGTTGATTGAAAGTCTAACGCGAACTCGTGGTCTTGCAGTAAAGGTTTAATTCAACCAGAAGACCATAACAAGGTCACTATCATTGCGAAAAAACTTTAGCCTTGATAGAATCAGAAATCCAAGTTATCAATAAACAAAACGATATTCTTCTCGGAATGATCAGCGATCTAAAACTTAGAAAACGACGTGGACTGATAAATGGTGTTTCATATGCACTCAACTGGCTGTTTGGAACACCAGACGCCGACGACGCTCAATTTTATACTGACAGTATAAAAACATTACTGAACAATGACAAACAAACACAAACTCTTTTAAAATCCCAAGTCCAAATAATGACCAGTACCATAAAAATTTCAATAGCTCTCTACTTTCACTGAAAAGCCAAGAATACAAGCTAAACGAAAATATAAAACAAATCGAGCAATTTGCATCAGAGACAAATAGCCAATTACAATTATTACTCGCGGGATCTCTGATGACCGAACACATATTATCATTGCAAATTTTTTACAAGTAAAAAGTTACAGGAATATCGAGAATTTGTTGAATCTGTGAACTTAGGAATCTACAACCAACCGTCTCTTTCTCTACTTAGTCCATCTATATTACTTGAAGAGTTATCAAAATACAAAGGAGAAAACGAATTTATCTTAGAACCAAATCGTAATAACATCATCACATTCTATAAATTTATGAAATTAGATATATTTTTGTCACGAAATAATGTGCCATTTTTGCTTTCAAAATACCATTAGCGAAAAAGGTTCTCTATGACCTTTAATCACCTCATAACCTCTTCCAATACAACATCAAAATCACTCTTACGTTCCTATATTCAACCTCAAGCTCCTTATTTCCTTTTATCACTTTCCAAAACCCACCATGTATTCTTGCAAGAGTTGTCTGAATGCAGCGAGTATCAAAATGGAGAGTACATCTGCACGAACATTCATGCAATAAAAGCAACAGATCCTCCAAACTGTGAGATGGAACTTCTACTATCTCATACCAAGAAGATACCACCTAATTGCGAAGTAAAACAAATTAAGGCTACTATCGAATCCTGGACATATATCAACTACAACAGATGGATTTACGTCTTACACGATCCAACAACACTGACTCTCGTCTGTGATGACCATCACCACATGGAAGACATAGTCCTTCATCGAACAGGAATCCTGCACCTCAGCAATCAGTGCAAGGGATATACTACATTGTACGCAATCGAACCAACAGATTTTGGTAATAAAAACGTCACATATTACGTGCCTCCTATCAAGCTTATAAGTGACGATTGCTGTATTTATTCATCAAGACTCGAACATCCTATCTCTCTCAAATTGAAACCTGTGAAACTAACTAATATAGACCTCACTGACCTAAAATTTGCATCGAAGAAATTGAATGATTTTGACGAATATTAACTAAACAACTCAACGAACCATTTATCGTTACACATTCAAGTTGGTACAGCATATTAATATACGTACTAACAGCATTAGTAATAATGATAATCTGGATTAACTGCTGTCGATGGTGTGGATGTCTATATGGGATTAAAAGACTTTGCTGTTTTACACGAAGTCCTCAGAATGGTGAAATATTACCACCTGTCATTAAAAACTTTATCAATTGCAACTTCGATTCTGATCTTCGAAAAGAATACCAAGAAGCCAGCGGCGACATCGTTCTTCGAGAAAGGTCCAACCAACCTCTTAGAGGAGAACTCACTTCCAGAAATTGCAGAAGAAGACTCACCGGCAGAAGTACGAATAGAAGATAACCAGACACCACCAGCTATCCGACTTAGAAGAAGCACAACACCGATATAACCGATATATTTTTTATAATCTTACGTTCTATATCTTAATTATTTCAAAATTATTGTTCATTTCTCATGTGTTATTCCTATTATGTACTATTTTAAATTTATACACTAAATATTTCAAGAGTATTGAAGACCAATGCCTTCATACTTAACGAGGAAGGTGTTAGATACCATTCCCCATTATCATAAGTAAGAACCGATTTCACTAGAGTTCTAATATTTGTCACGAACTCCTTTTTTATGTATCCTGTCATAAACAGCCCTTTTAAAATACCTTCCAAGAGAAATCGTCCCTAACCCTTTTTTTATATTCTCCAAACTTCCAAATTTTAAGTTCCCAATTCGTTACGATTTCACCAAAGTGAAATCGCTTCCTGTTTACAGGTTCATATCATTTTTCTACTCTAGTTACGTCACAGGACTCTTACCCTTTCCCTCGAAATTTAGACCCTTTAAATAAGAATGTTCCCTAGGATTAAGCAATCAGTTTTGTCAAAATCTCTGTACGAAAAGCATCTCATCTCAAAACTTTAATGTACTTAAGTTACTAAATAAAGATTAAGTTCACTTGAAGTCTTGGTATCCAACACTTCTCTGAGTTGCTTGAATTACAAGAAAATATTCTATGCTATAAAAATGGATAAAAGTTTTTTTGTTACAAATAAAAAATATTATTCAATATTGCCAAAAATATTTTTTGTTCGATTTATATTAGAAATAATTTTATTTTCTTGTTTTGAAAGAGATTATCATATTTTTGTATAAATGTTTTAAAGATAAATAAAATGAAATTATTGTAAAGCAACAAGAAAAATATTTCATACACTTCAATGGAAAATTTTACTGAAAAATATACATTTTTACAAATTTATTCAATTCCTTCAATCAAACTGACATTGAAAAAATTTGTCAGTCTTCTGAAAGCTTTTTACTACTGAAAAATATGTATTTTATCACTGTTCATTGACGTGAAATATTTTGAAAAATTAAATTACCTATTCTGAAACAAATTTTTTTACATTTTTTCGATTTCTAACCGAAATTTTAGCTAAGGTACGCTTAGTCGAGTATTTTTTTGTTTTTATTTCATTGAATATTATCATTAACATTTATAGGTCTCGAGCTTAAAAGAATATTTCATCAACCATACACGGAGATAATTTTTTCACTAAATGTTAGTGCAAAAATGACAAGTGCACGTTTCGAAATTTAGAAGTAAACATATTTCTGTTCAACAGTGAATTTTGGGTTGTCGTAATTAATTCTTTTACTAAGACACCTTTTAAGTCACAAGTTTACTTACACGAACTCAAAATTTACTATCGAATAGAAATATTTTTACTCATAAAATTCGAATCGTGGATTTGTTACTTTTTGCACTTACATTTAGTGAAAAAATTCTCTCTGTGTAGTTATTGAAACACGGGAAATAATTTTGACTTCACAGATAATATAGGCGTGTCTCGATATTTTTTAAAAATATTGTGATTATAGTATTATAAACAAAGAAATAGATAGAATGATTAAATATATTTTTTTATAAATGAACTAAGTATAAATACCTGTCTGTCACTTTTCCTGTAAGCATCAAAGATCCTCCAAACATGTTCCGGTCCCGCAGTCGCCGACGGTGTTTGCTTTTGCGCCTCAAATTCGTCCCATATCGGATTATTCCCAATAACGTTTAGTTGAGTACCCCTGAACTTAAACATGGCAGAAAAACCCCATCCAATGTCAAACGTTCATCAATTGACTTGGTCGAGCTCTTTTACTCTTTCCTATTACCTCTGAAACTAATTTACAGTTTGATTACCAATTGTCTGCCATAATATTCTTCATTTTTCTGTACTATTCTCTACAGTAGTCAGTTGTCGTAAAAGTGTTTCCTGTCGTTCAATGATAAAAAAAAATCATTTTCCTGCATGACAACTTTTTTCTATTTTTTTTCCAGTCCTTTTCACGAAGAATACATCCATAGAAAATTGAAAAGGGTTCTAGTAAATGGATAAAGTATGGTCAATCTCTTTTACTTGGCTCGAGTAAACGTACAACTAACATCTCTTTTCTTGTATCTTTGTTTCGGTTTCTTGTTCTCTTTCAACTACAATTTAATTCATCATTTGGTTTCTTTTATCACCATTTACTGTATAATATTGAATGTCCTCTAAATTTTTTTATTTTATTTTTAATCTATTTATAGGGTAATACTTATCATTATTTATCTGTTGCATTAATTTTCGTTTCATTTGTTCTAGCATTTGATAATCCTATTAAAAAGTAGATGAAAGTAGCAGAGGAATAGTTAATTTATGTATGAATAAAAGCGAAAATGAATAAAATGGAAAACTCGCTCAAATGTGTATATATGTATATATCCGTCTCTAATTAAATTCAGTGGTCGAGGAAAACCCAAGTGAGACGAGAGTTCGTAAATCATTAGTAAAAAAGTTTATTTTACAGTGACAGTTTTCATCGGGATATATAAACGTCCTTCCAAGTTTTGATTTGACCTGTATGTTGTACAATCGTATAGTCATGTTACTGCTATAACTGCATTGCAAATCCAAGTGTGTTATTCTTATAGACACTTTTAACAAGCTAGGCCTTTTCAATGTTAAATTCCGTAAACAAATTATAGATTTTTCACACACTGTGAAACGTGTAAAAAGTATCTACAAATCATGTATAATTTGTTTATCGACATTTTACATTGAACACACTTTATGCGTGTTATTTTTAACCCATTTGTAAAATTTTAGGATTTGTAGTGTATGAGGGTTATTGTCGAGTTGGTACGCAAAACAAAAAAATTTTAAGAGCTAAAAAAATTTCTACATCTTTTTTTTAATTAATTGAATTTTGTATAAAAGTATGTCTACTTTTTATCATTATTTTTCAAGATGTAAACTTGTAAATGTGTTATAAAAAACTTCGAAACAATAGGAAGTGATTCATTGAAAAAATTCATTTACAGAAGCTCCAATCTAAATTATATTACTTCAATAACTTAAAGTAAGTTACTTCATTTTAACAGGAACTGAAAATTTTAATTTTCGATATTTTTTAATTTATAAAAAACATGATCAAAGCTTTATTTGCATGTTATTATCTAACTGATGCTTTTATAAGAGCGTGAATCACTTTTAACACACATTAAAGAGATGTTTGAGTTGGCTCTTAATCGGACAATATTTACCAACATTACACAATGCAGGTTTTCAGAATATTTACCATAGTACTATGTTAAATAATTACTATAAATGAGGGGATTCATTTATCTGTTTAACTATTTTTCATTATTATGAATTATTTTCACAGAGAGAAGTTTGAAGTAAATTTTACTACAAAATTTGAATAATTTTGTTTTGTTGTAACTTTAGAACAGAATCTGTAGAAATTAAAACAACACAATAATATATTTCTACATACTTTAAAACTGAAAGATACTACAAAATTTAAACGTTAAAAATCAATACTGTTACAATAAGTTTCGGATGAAAAATTAATTATAATAAAAATAACAAATTTTAGTACTTTTTAATTTAAGCTCTTTATATATGCCGAAGTAGAACATAAATAATATTACGTAAATATTAATAATTCTTATGAAAGATGTATAGTATGTCATTGATATATGAATATAATCTCGAGATATTAAATATAGAGTTAAAAAAGAAAAATTGAAAGATTTTAATATGCTACCGATACAAAAAATATGCATATAACACGTGAAAAAAATAGAATTTTTTTCGTTTTTTATTATTATAAAAAACATAATTTTTTATCAAGTAAAATTTTTCTGTAATTTGAAAGGTTTTATGATTTATATAAAACCGTATGTTTATCGATAATTAATACACATACCATTAAATAAATATTCAACAGAGATTGAAAATTACAAATATTTAAATCGTTTAATTAGCATGACTTTGTGTAATTACTATTCAGTAAATCTGGAGTGTATTAAAATAGCATACCTCAAGTATGCTTAGTGTTTAATTACACAAATTATACCTTTTTTTACTCATTTTGAATTGAAAACACTTCAGAGTGTTTAAAGATGTCATAATAAAAAGAATGAAATAAATTTTGTCATTTTTATAATAATAGTTTATACTCTAATTAGGGGAAATTTTTTAAGGTACTTATAAGAAAACTGAATTAATTTTAAATTACCATAATATTCTTTATATACATTTTTTTCAAGAATCTAACCGCCTAAATAATTATAAAAGATTTTGTGAGGCATTTTAAAGCATATTTTTGCCGAGAAACTAATGAGTTATAATTAAGTAGTATGTACTTGAATAATTTTCTTTTCTTTATGATAGTACATTATTAGCTGTTAAAATATATTATTTCTCTTTATTTTTTTTGTAAAAATAGAAAAAAAAATTACTTCCAACTTGGGCTGTAGTGATTTTTTTTTAAAAAAGATATGCATGTTGATATTCATTTTTCACAATATGGGTAAAGAAATAATTTTTTTAAACTCTTCATTTCCATACAATACATTCCATAAAATACATATGGTTATAAATAAAATAAAAATGTCGTTATCTGTATAAAATTAAAATTTATACATATATGAAGGTTAAAATTTTGAGTTTAATAGGAAGAGAAAGTAAAATATTTAACGAATAAATTACGTTAATAATGTAATTTTCATTTAAAAAAAAAAAAAAAAATAATTAAAAGTGAAACTTGATGTTGATCAGTTTAAATAAATAACAAATAGAAGAGAAATTTATTATCAGATGACATTCAAATAATGTGAACAATCGAAAGCGACCTTTTGAATGCATCAGAAAAAGCATTCATATAGAATTCAAACAAACGTAACACATGATAAAACATTCAAAGAAAAACTCTAAAAAATAATCTAAATAAAGACATGAAAAATGTTTATTTTAAAAGTAAAACTATTGAGTATTCAAATTCTTTATCATTTAAAAATATGTCAAAATTTTTATGCAACTTCTCTATGATGCTTTTGATAATTAATTATTAGAGGTATTTGTCCTTGAATCATTCACTACAAATCAAGGTGTATTCATGTTACACATCTAAACATGTTAAATATGACTTCACCTATTTGATTAACATTTTAGTCACTTTTTACACATTTAGAAATGCATTAAAAGTGAACACAATGATTATTAAATGAATGACGTCATATTTAACACGTTTAGATGTGTAACAAGAATGCACTTGGATTTACAGTGTTTACACGAATAAGATTAAAGTTATTAGTAAAATTAACTACTGAATTTTAATGAAACATTTGAGAATTTTTTAAAATAAGAATGGATGAATTATAAGTTCTCAAATAATAAAATTATGATAGAAATATAATTAAAAGGAATTTTAAGTATTTTATCATAAGAGAAATTGAATCGATATGTAACTTAAGTAGATCAAGATAATTGGAAATTAACTACAACTTTTTCAATTATTTTTATTCTGGTACTTGATAAATGAATAATATGATGAGCCTTGTTAGACTTTGGAGATATCGAAATTTTTCAGCTATGATATTGATTATTAATAATTGTTGCAAAAATGCAATAATTCTGAAGAATATAATGAAAGTTATGATTATAATAATAACTTTTTTCAATTTTCTAATTCTTTCTATACAATATCGATTGGAATTTTTTAATTACAAAACTTTTTACTTCAGTCAATTATTTGTAAAATTTCAAGGCATGAAGGTTTTTTTTAACATTAATAGTGGCAATAATTAATTTGAAATACGTGATCACAAGGTAATTTTCTACTTTAATAAAATAATCCAGATATTAATTCATTACTAATAATCATTTAGTATTTATTTTTCATTAATTATTGCATTCTGCAATTTTATTTAAGAAATGCACTCAAATATAGATGAACAGTATTATTTTTATTAAGCTAATTACTTTGTAAAATTTAATCAATAATCGATGTAGATATATGTATTTTGATTATTGATTGAGAGAAATAAAAATAGTTGTATCTAATATTGTATATAACAATCCGCTTACAGAAACATCAACAATAACTTGACAGTTATAAAAATTGTTTCTATTGAATACAAAAATATTAATGTAAAAGAATAGAATAGAATTTCGATATTAATGAAAGATGTATTCACAACTCTAGAAAATTAATAGTTATTTTCCTCTCACATCAATTTTATTCTTCATAAAAGCAAAAGTGTTTGAAAAGAGAACTTGATATTCACAGAGAAGTAATGAATTAGTTTAAGAGTAGGATAATAAAGAAGTTAGCTTAAATTACAAAACAGAAAGATAGAAAGTAGAAAAAAAAATGAAAGGGTGAAATGGAAGCATTTGAAAATGATCTAGATAATTGGGGTCAAATAGCCCTGCAGTTAAATTAAATAAAAGATAAGATTACATAAGTATAGGAAATAAAATGAAAACGTTAGTTCAAGTTCACAAAAGAGATAATTAATACACTACAAATTGTTATGACCTTTTCAAAAGTATATTTCTCATCAACTGACTATCGTGAGTTATACGTAAAATTTGTTCAGTCTATTATTCAAGAAACACTGTCATGTTCAGGAAACAAGTAAACTTTTCTATTTGCAAGTTATCAAAGTGGGAAGTTAGTGAAGAAAATTTTTGTTGAATAACTTGTGTGTTGATTTATTGAAGGAGTCGAAGAACAGAGAGATTGAATGAGTGAAAAAGATAACAGATGAGTGAGTGAGAGTGTTAGTAATGGAATAGTATTCGTCTTGCTTGTTGGGTAGCCGTGCAATTACTGGGTGGTAGATATGGGT